ATAATCATCTAAATCTTGTAATAAGTCAGAAAGACAATATCTTCTTTCTTTTCTTACTTTTTAAATATTTATTTTAGTTATTTATGCATACAAGAGCTGGGGTATAGGCCAGAGGTATGGGGGGGGGGTGAGAGGATTCACCAGAGAGTGGGCATTCAACAGAGTGGGGAGCAGAAAAGGCAGACTCACTGAAATACACTGCTGAGGGGAGCAGTGGGTGAGACAGGAGAGGTCTGCTGCGCATTGTGGGTCACCTCCCTGGCCAGGGATTAAACTCATGCTTCAGTGGTTGCAGATAGCTTGATAGTGCTGAGACTATACCTCCTTGCACCACCATGGAACATCTTTCCATGTCACAGAGGGACATTGTTGAACAAGCCCCCAAAGCATTACTTAATTATAGAGGGATCCACCTTTCTTTGACTCTCTATTCATCATTGATTATAAGCCTAGAAAATGTGGAGTTGCATGTTAACTTGTTTGTTTTTTTTTTTTTTTTTTTCTGGTGGAGATGCAATAGATTTCTCTCTGATAGAAAAGATAACTCCAAATGTTATGATCTTATTGCACTTATCAAGATGTTAACCAGATTTGTATCTAACCCAATGACTTTATTCTAACATTCTTTTTTCCAAAACCTATTAAGTGACAAGTTCCCAATGCGTTTTAAATCAACTTTACCCAACCCCCTGATTCTCTCATTGCTGAGTTCAATAAATCTTTGATGTGTATTCAGTCCATATTTGCATGAGAACTTATTATGCTATTTTTTGAAAGTCAAACTTTGATGCCAATGTTTCAGCCAAAAATCTCTGTGAAAGAGGGAAGTGTTCAACTGGAAAGCTTGGAGCCTTTTCTCAGTCTTAGCCTTGGGCTGTTCAGCTGAGAGGGCTCTAGGGGTACCTGAGATCACTGAAAAGATGACTGAGGCTTCGGGAGTACTGTGACTCAGGTGGGCAGTGTGCCAACTCACTTTTGGTTGATGGTGAGGGGCAGCATGCACAGGCATGAGGCAGCTGACTCAGCTAAGTGTGGGTTCATGGGGCTTAGTTGGGATGGACTTTGCCCAGCAGATGGGACAGGCAGGCGGATTCCCTGCAGCAGGCCACATCAAAGTCAGTGGTGACCCCTCCCCCACATATAACTAGATGTAAATCTAGTGAAGGCTAGGCTTGAACCAACAACTGGTCACCATCCAAGGATACAGGCAACAGGTCCAGGTTCTTGGAGGGAGGTTAGCAAGGGTATTAAGGTCACAGGGACCCACATTCCAGTGGGGAACTGGAAGCAAGGCAGAAGCATCACCTTTCAGATCTGAACAGCGAGTTGGGGACAAGTGATAGTGGAAAGAATACAGCTCAGGAGCATGTGGGGTCCTGGATTCCATCACAGAAATGCCAGATCATGTGCCCGAGGCAAATAAGATCTGCCTACTTTGTCTCATGTGTTCATTCATTCACTCAACAAGGATGCTTTGCTTAGCAAATGCAGGTGGGAAGGTTTCTGTGACTATGGTTGATGAGTCGAGGGAAAGTGGCGTTGCCCTGTCTCTATCGGCCTATTTCCTCTATCTTCACTGCCTTGGGATTGAGAGAAGAGACTAAGTAGGACTTCATTATTACTTTACCCCAGTGACGGTCAACTGTCATTCTTGATAACACTTAGCTCCCTTGTCCACCCAAACTGTATTGGGAGAATTCCTTGTGCGATGTGTCAGCACCTCTCCAAAGGAAAGCTCAGGAATATGGTTTCCCAGTCACTCTTGCAGCTGGAGGCAGGCCTGTGATGCGGGCTTTGTTCTGGACAAGCCTCAGTTTGGAAATATCCTTAAGGAATCCACTTTGGGGAAGGTGGTGCAGAGAACCAGCTTCCAGAAATAGCATGGGTCCAGCCTATGCCCAGCTGTGGGATGCGGATGTTTCCCAAGGAGGCTCAAGGTGCTGCTGAGTAGCACCTCTGCAGCACTTGGGTCAGGCTGGCTGCTGGGCAGCCCTGAAAGTTTTTGGGCCCTTAATGGGCTCCCTTTCCAAAGGAGAGTCCAATTCAATGCCTCTCTCTCTCTCTCTCTCTCTCTCTCTCTCTCTCTCTCTCTCTCTCTCTCTCTCTCTCTCTTAATTTAGGGATTATCTGAATGTCCACAAATGTTTCACACAAAAGAAACTCTGCGGAGCAGTTAGAAAGCCCTATAAGCTCGGTCTTGCCTGTTTCTTTGATAGAAGTGTAGGATGACTAATTACATTGGCTCTTCCATCAGGAAGGGAACAGTGATTGGTTATTACTGAAATAGATGCTTATTCAGGATGTAGATTGCTTTGCCTGCCCACCAAGCTTCTGACAGCAATATTTGTGAATTTGTGAACTTATAGAAAGCCCATGCTCACTTTTTAATAATTAATTAATCAGTTGATAAGTCAATCAATTGAGGAACTTATTTACAGCAAAAGAACTAAGGACATATAAAAGGCCAATATTGCCTCTTCTGCTGCCTAACCTGTTACTGATTAAAAGCAGTGAAGAGATCTACCCTCAGGGTTCTCCCATCCAGAGTAGGTATGTCTGCTTTTGGAGTAGTCAGGGCATGCTATGTTTCCGTGCTCATTTCCCAGTGCCATTTGGTGCTATTTAGTGAGCAGCTACTCTGGACCAAATGCTTTATCTACATTATGGTGCATTAATTTGTCATTTTCCATGACAAATTTGTCATTTTCCATGACAAAAAACAGAACTGAGGGCAAGAGAGGTATGTTGCCCAAGACAACATAGCTAATAATTGTCTTTAGAGTTGAACTTGAAACCTGCTCATGCCCTTGTTCTTTTCACTGCGCTATACCCCCTCCTTTGAACAAATGATTGGTGGGGGAAATTCTTAAACTTCCTTTTCATGACTCTTACTCTTTCCTCTCCTTCCTCTTACCCTGATGTTAGCATTAGAGCAGTAATCTACAACTTCAAAGGACATTTGAGAGTAAGGGGTTACTTCTGGGGTGTCCAGTTAGGTAAAGGAGCACCTGTTCAATTCATCTTGCCTTGACTGGGGAAATTAAGGCAAGATTGAGGATTAGGTTCAGGCCAGATTAAGGACTTCTATAGTTACAATAAATTATTAAAGCTATAATAATTAAAACTGTGGTACTACCTCAGGATAGAGACCTATATCAATAGGACAGAATTGAGGATCCAGAAATAAATTCATATATCCAGGTCAAATGGAATCTTGACAAGGGTGCCAAGATTATTCAGTGGGGGATATAATGATTTGTTCAACAAATGGTACTGGGACAACTGGAAATTCACATGAAAAAGAATGAAGTTGGACACCTACCTCACACTGTATATAAAAATTAACTCAAAATGGATCAGGGATCTAAGAATAAGAGCTAAAACCATAAGACTTAAAATAAAGCATAGGGATAAATATTCATGACCTCAAATTTGGCAATGGATTCTTAGATACAACATGAGAAGTACAAGCTACAACAACAACAACAATAGATAAATTAGACTTATTCAAAATTTAAAAGCTTTGCTTATCAAAGAACACTATCAAGTAAATGAAAACATAACCTACAGAATGGGAGAAACTCTTCTCAAGTCATGTATCTGACAAGGTCATATATCCAGAGCACATAAAAAAAACTCTTACAGGCCTCCCTGATGGTACAGGGGTTAAGATGCAACCTAAGAAGCTATCCACAGCCACTGCAGCACGAGTTCCATCTCCCACCAGGGAGCTACCCACATGGGCAGCAGACCTCTCCTTTCTCGCCCGCTGCTCCCCTCAGCAGTGTATTTCAGTCAATCTGCCTGTTCTGTTCCCCACTCTGTCTCTGGTGAATCCTCTCACCCCCCCCCCCACATCTCTGGCCTGTACCCCAGTTCTTGTAATCATAAATAAATCTTAAAAAAAAAACCCTTAAAACTCAACACCCAAAAGATAATCCAATTTTAAAAAGAACAAAGACTTTGAATAGACAGTTTTCCAAAGAAGAGATGCAAATGAAAGCCAGCACATGATGCTGCTTAACATCATCAGTCATTAAAGAAATGAAAATCCAAACCCACACAGGACAGCACATCACAGTGTGATCTGCAATGGAGGCTGTTAAGAAAAACAAGAAGATATGTGTTGGCGAGCACATAAAAGGTTTCAGCCACTGTGGAAAGTGATTCAGCCATTCCTCAAAAAGCTAACCACAGAATTACCATATAATCTAGTAATTTCTCACTGAGATCTATACCCTAGCAAATTGCATACACATATCAAATAAACACTTGTACCTGAATGTTTATAGCAGCAGATTCACTGGAGCCAAAAGGTCAGGACAACCCAGATGCCCACGGGCGGCATGCATTGTATGCAGATGCTGGAATGTCATTCCGTGAAGCAGAGGAAGAAAGTGCTGATGTGGGACAACAGCTCAACGTGAATGCACCTAGAAAATGCTATGCCAAGTGACAGAGGCCGGACGGGTAATGTCACTTAATAGAGGACCCCGTTTATAGGAAAGACTCAGAACAGAAGAGTCGTTGGAGCTAGAACACAGACGGTAGCTGTCAGGGGCCAGAGGAGGGGTAGAAAGGCACGCTGAGCCATGATAGGGTTTCCTCTGGTGGTGATGATGGAGGTGGAGGCTGCCACTGAACTGTTCACTTTAAAATGGTTCATTTTATGTTACGTGGATTTTACTTGCATAAAAAAAAATTGAAAAAATAACTTACTAAAGAGAGTTAACCGCCAGCCCCATAGCTGAGGATTCTGTCTTGGGGTGTCGCTGGAGGGGGCGGCGCAGGAAGTCCCGCTCAGATTTAAGCAGCCAGTCCCAGTTAACCAGGAGCACATCCACAGCCAGAGCGAGCGGAGGCGCCCCCACCCGCCTGAGGGGGGTGGGCTGTGCAGGGGCCTCCAGGAGGCGGTCAGCCAGCTGGTTCTGAGGGCTGCTTGAGAGTTAATCTGATCCTCTGGAGGTTTTACAAGGCTCTCCCCAGCTCCTCCTCCACCTGCCTGCCTGGCCAGAGAGAACTGGCCTGGCTCCAAGAAGCTCCCAGCACACTTCTCCGTCTTGCAGTCTGAGCAGGCGGCCTAGTCAGGGTCTGGCAAGACCTTACAGGGTTCCAGGGGCCAGGCCGGGTTCCGTTCTGGAGTGGGGCCCCCTGGCTGTGCTGTCACTGCAAATCCAGCTTCTCTGCCCAGCTAGCCTGATTGGAACCCTGTGGCAGCTCCTGAGAAAGTACTTTGGACTCTAGGAACAAAGGTAAGGGAGAGGGCTGTGAGCTGCCGGGACTCACAAGGGGAAGAGACTAACACATCCGCGGAAGGTGTGACCCTGTGCTGGTCTCTTTACTTCAGACCCACATGAGAACATGTGGCTATTGTCTGGGGCAGGGGTGAGGGTATATTTGAAGGGCAGCTTCTGGTTAAATTTGCCTTCATATTCAGAGCACAACGTGATATCACCTCTTCCAGGAAGCCTTCTTAAGCCCTAAGTTGTCCTTTCTCCGGGTCCTCAAAGCATCCTACACTTCCTATGTAGCCTTTTCTATATTATATTGTAAATACCTAATGACGACTTAGTTCCCCCCATACACTAGGCTGTGGGCCCCTCCTGGCTGGGTGCCTCCTCCAGGGTTTCTCTCACCTCCACATCAGTGACCTGATGGGTGTCTCGAGTGCCTGCTATTGACCTAGGGAAGGAGGGCTACTCTCTTCTCTTACTTTGCCAGGCAGGTGCCTGTTCACACCCACACATTCATACACCCTTAAGGAAAGTTCAGCCTATTCTTCAGTTCAGACACTGGAGACAGAGTCAAAACTATATGGAACTGAGGTGGCAGTGGGCCAAGGGGTGGGCACGTTGGCTTCAAACTAATTCTCTCAAGCCCTTGCATCACATCGTGTGGCCTCCCTGCCCAGGCCTTTCAGGTGGATGTCCCCACTAGAATGTCCTCTTGGTCGATCACCTCTCTCACCCAAGTGGGATTTTCTTTTCTTTTTTCTTTTTAAGAGACAGGAGAGGTCTGCTGCACCCCGTGGGCATCTCCCCGGCCTGCCGGGGATTGAACCTGCACCGCAGAGGCTGCGGACAACCTCACAGCGCTGCCCTCAACCCCCTGCACCACCAGGGAGGCCCCCCAAGTGGGATTTTCTTATCCTCACTTAATTTACCTTCTTGGCCAGTCTGGGGTTATTAAATTGGTGGGGGTGTCTCAGGTCCTCCTAGGTATTAGACTCATTTTACTGCTGCTGAGAGGGAGAGGAAACTTGAAGCCTGGAAGTCAGAGAAGGGGGTGGGGTCTGCGGCAGAAGCTTGCTTTTTCTTTCTGTTCGACCACGATCATCCCAAACCATTTTAAACAATAAATCAAATTATACCGCAAGTGTTAATCTGCTGCCCACAGACTTCAATGATCTACATACAAGATTCATGTCTTCCTGCTAGCATAATTTTGGACTTTATTATGCTGGTTGAGTGTCTGTCTCTTTCCCAACCTTGACTGTGACATTACAAAACTCTCTTCTATTAGTTCGGCCTTGGAGAGCTCTGTTTCCAATTCCCACTTCTGAAGTCCCTTGACTGCAGCAATCAGGAATGGAAAAATGTTAATCTTGGTCCAAATAGACACAGGTTAGGTCATAAAACTCAAGTTTAGGTCTGAGAGCTCCTAGACCATTGGCAGATGCAGAGGTCATTGCTATCACCTCTATAGTAAGACGCAATCCCTAGACTTACAAGCACACAGTCTGGTGTGTGTTTGGGAGCTAAGAGGCTGCCAGGAATTTACAATATGGTGCGACAAATCAAGATGCCAAGTGCATGAGGCTTTGAGAGCCCAGAGAACAGGAGCCTAACCTTGTTTGTAAAGGAAGACTTTCTAGATGAGGTGATGTCTGAGTAGAGCCATGAAAAGCAAACAGAAGTTTCCAGGAGCATGTTCATCTACACTCTGGACCCCGGATCCTCTGTGTCGGCCAGGCTTTGGAGAAACCAGAGAGAAGCCTCTGAGACGCACCCCTCACCCTGGTGAGCTTTGTGTAGGGTACCTGGGTTTGATCACCTTGACCGCTTGACCGTGGGGTGTTAGTTGGACCAAAGCACCTATGGATATTCTGCAACTGTGCAGATGTGGACCCATCGGAGGTTCCCAGAAACACTGGGGGTTAAATAGGTGATGTCACTCCTGATTTCTGCCTAGGAGCACGAGCCCCAGTTGGGAAATAGGACATTGGCAGTTTCTGCCTTCAGCACCTTTGCTCTGTGATGGTATCTACTTCAAGGATTAGAAGTTAGGGATCTAAGTGGAACCCATAAGTGCTCCTAGTGCTGCTCGTTCCTCCTGTGACTGAGGAAGGGCCTGGGGTAGTGTCCTAGCTCTGCTGGAGCGGTGCTGTTACCTGCGGCAGCTTCAATTGGAGACTTTGCTCTTCTAAGTTCAACCAACAATCCCAGGGGGCTTTGGAAGGCTTACAAAGCCTTAGCTGCAGGGCTTGGTGGGAACTTGGCCACGTGGAGCAGAGGGCAAGAAAAAGAAGCCAGGAATATGTGGGATGAGCAGGAAGGGGTGGGCTAGCCAGGGGCCGGCCTTGGGGTGGAGGCGCCTAACACTGCCCTATGGCCATCTCTGTAACATGAATTGAAGGGAAGGACTCCTCTCCTTCTCTCGCTCCTGAGGGGATCTGGGATCTATTTGGGCCAGTGGTTGGTAGTATACAAAGTTGAAATGGTGCTTTTATTATTTTGTAAAGTGTCCTATTTGGTTCTGGCTTTTAGCTGTGTGTGGCCCTGAGTCCTATGATACAGGGCCCAGTAAAGAGACACGTCCCTACTCATGGCTTACAAAGACACAGCAGAATACGGGCATCCCTGGTGCTCTCTACTTTGGTCCTGTTCCATTTCCAGTTCCCACTATCTCTCTCTTGGGTGAAAGGGGAATCATATGAGTATTTACCCCTTCTGTACAAGCTGCCCTGGTGTGCTAGGGGCTTGGGGCAGTTTGCTGTCACCAACAATGAGGCAGGGACTCCTGTTCCCGGCCAGTTCAGATTCAGCAACATCCCTGATTTTCCCTTACAGTGATCCCCCTCTCTTATCTTACAGTATTCTTCCTCGCTGCCCTCTGAGTTGTCCCTGGGTTCTTGGAGGCCCTGAAAGGAATGGTAGTTGGCTCCAGGATCGACCTGAAAACCTGCTAGATTTTGAACTTGTGAAGGCAGACGAAGGGATCGGGGCTCAGCCTCCAAGGACGGGCTGCCCAAGCAGTCGTGAGCCCCTGTGCCACAGGCTCTGCCCAGCCAGCTCTGCAGGCAAGATGCTGGTAGGCTGGGCCTCCAGGAAAGGCGCAGGGCTCAGTCCCCTCCAGGAGGGTGCAGGCTGTGTGAGGTGTGGTGGTGGGGAGGGGAGTTATTGCCAGGTTGCTATGAGTGGAAGTAAACATAAACAATGGTGACCCCGGTGTGGCGACGTTTGGGGAGACTACCTCCTGTGCTTTCTACCTTTCTATGATGAACTTGTATTAGTTGTGTGACATGAATAAGGATTCCGGCCAGCAGAAAGCACAAATCCAGTCCAGCCTCAGAGTGGGCTGTGACAGTGGCTGCCTGGAGGGAAAGACATGGGGTCTTTTGGCTCCTGGAAGGGACTGGGTGCTTTGGACATCCGGGCAGATGGCTGCCTGCTCCCCACTCAAGCCCCCTCTGCGTGGTTCCCATCTCTCAGCTGGCAGGGAATCTGCTTGCAGGGCTGGCCAGAGGCTGCTCAGCTCCCAAGTGGGCTGCCCTTTGCCCAACTCTGGAATTTTTCCAGAACCTCACACTAGACTGTAGGCCTCTCTCCGCAGTAGCTTTTCTGTGTGTGGAGCTGAGCTATACGCATCACTGTGCTTCTCTCCCAGCCTCTGCTTGTATCTGCACACACAGGCTGATCTGATTTGTTTTCTGGGAAGACAATGGTTTTATTGTTGAGTTTGGTATCCCTCCAGCTATGTGATAGGGAGGGGAAGTTGGGTCTTTGAGCGCGGCTAGATGGCCTTCCCAAGTGACAGTGGCATGATTTAGGGAAATGACACTGCCGCTTGCTTACAATATGCATTATCCAGAGCGCCCTGCTGGGGCTGCTCTACTCCGAGAGAGGCTCGATGCAGCGGCCAGCTGTGCTGCTGCCCAAGGTCAGGTGCACAGAGCAGGCGAGGCTATCCATCAAGCTGTGTGTGAGGTGCTCACCACCTCCAGGAAACACCTGGGGATGCCGCTCTGCCTCTGCTGCTACTCCTGCTGCGTTAGCCAGGGAGCAGCCCGGGAATCCAATGTGAGCCCAGGCCGCACCTGGGCATAGAGGGGTACCCAACACCCAGAGCTGCCCACACTCTGGGAACAGACTTCACGAATGACAATTTTTATCCTTCAAGTTACCTGTTATGCTTTGGGTCTGGGAAGCTCTCTCAAGCTCTCCCGAGGCACTGGAGGCACTGCCGCGCCACCCTCTCGGTCTAGGAAATGATAGAGAGAGAAGGAAGGAGAGAGAAGAAACTGGGATGGTTGAAAAGAGCAAAACGGGGTGCTGTTCTGTTATTTGCAGATCCTCTGACTTTGAACTTCAGGGTCAGGGGGCAGAACCCTGGTTCTGTGGGTTCAGGAAGGCCAAGCACTTCATCCTGCACTGAGGGAGGAGCGAGCAACACCTGTACCAGAGCATCACCCACCAGGTGAATATGGTTGTGGAGGTAGACCCGGAACTGGTAAGAGAAGAGGGCATAGAGCTGACAAGTAGTCCTCTCTGGGACTCAAGGGGAGACTTTGATCAACACCTTTCATTTTAGCAGTTGATTCCCAGACCGTCACAAAGGCAGTAAGTACAGAGATGTTCACACCTTCAGAATGAGATGGGCATCTTTTCTTATCTCTGTGGGAGAAGGCTTAAGTGGATGCTTTGACTTTGGTGCTTTCATAGGCTGGTGGCTTGAGATCTAGTGAACCCACATTCCATACACGGGGACGGCGTGGCTGGAAGACTTCTTCATTAAAGTGGGGCCCTGTGCATTTCCTTTGATTTAGCAAGTCCAGGCCAAGACCAGAGCAGCAGTCTCCAACAGGGGGCCTATTGCATTTGCATCTGGGTTGGGTTTGCCTTCCTCTGTGGGCCAGGACATAGTAAAATAACGTGAGAAGATTTGATGAATGTGAGGACAATGAGATTGTTAATAAATCATTACTTGCATATTATTCTAACAAAGGAGACAACTATTTACTTATTGAGCAGAC